TTTTCTGCAATATTTTTGCTGTCTTTTCTTGGATTTTCTCTTTGCACTTAGTCACATATTCACTTTAAGATGTTTTTTTTGTTCATGTTTTTGTTTTTTGTTTGTTGCGGTTGCACCCGATTCAAGAGCTGAATGGCTCACAGGGCTATACCTAATAAATGAACTTGAACTTGAACGCAGTAGAATTCCATACTGCCTTTACAGTGCCATGCTATAGTTCTCAGCATAGTAAAGTTGGGAAATTGGTGACCAATGTAAGGACAAATGTTTGAATCCATCACGTGACACTCCAGTCATCCTCGCAGCGGCTGTTGGCTGGCCATCGAACAAAGATGGTCACTGCATCACGTGCTTTCAGATGCGCTTCTGTGGCTATCTGGAATGCTCTTCCTTCTGATATGAAGAAGCCACTGGAGCTATGCACTTTTAAATCTAGATTTAGGACGAATATCTTTAGAACTGCTTTTTGTGTGGAGTTTATTGTCCTTCCGTTGCACCTCCGATTATCTCAGTTGGCTATATTCTGTGCGAAATAAGTTCATCATACACGCATATTAATGTGCTTAAGATTTACATTTGTTTTTGGATGATGCCATGCATTGGAGGTTCTATGCGGAAATTATCATGAAGCCTCAATCACCCGTTGAGATTGTTATGCTTACAAAGATTTTATATCTCACAATGTATTGATACAATTCTGACTTTCCTGACTACATTTAATATAACATATGACGTATTTTACAAATTGCTTTGAGCTTTCAAACTGCTTCGAAGCCAAGTGGCTTTCCCCAAAAACAAATATAGATCACTGTATTTGCTACGGAAACCTACATGTTATAGAAATGTAGTGACTGGAAATGTCACTGTGTGGTGCCGGGCCTGCGAGGCCACGGCGGGATGTATACTGTTGTGGGTACACCCTGGACACGGGGTGTAGTACCAGCCCTAGTGGGGGCTTGGGTGAGCGCTGGTGAAGCGCGGTGGCACCACGCACAGCGTGCGGCGCGGGCTCCCGTTGAGAGAGCGAGAGTCAGCCAGCTGGGGTTACGTTGGGGGCATGATACTCTGGCTGACCTGGGGACATGTGACCGGATGATACTGGAGGGGGCCATCGGTGGAGGGGGCCAATGGGTGGTCACATGGTCTGGGAAGAACTCTCAAGAGCCTTCGGGCAAGGGGCGAGAAGGTAGGCGGGGCGAGAGGCGGAGCCAGCCCCAGCCCGGCCCAATATAAGGGGGGCCCTGTAAGGGGCTAGGGGTTCTTACTGTTGGAGAGGCAGGAGATCCACGACAAGCTTGAAAAAGCCTCCAGCCACGCGGTCCGGGACCCAACTTGTGGTCCGGACCGGGATAGTGGCACCGTGTCTAGTTCTGCCGTAGCGTAGTTAGTTTGGTGTTAATAGTCCTGGAGTATGTTTTGCAAATAGTTAATAAACGTGTTGCTCCTAAGACAACGTCTGCAACTCAGTTGGACTCACTACATATATATATATATATAAACCTATTACATGGTTACATTTAACATACTCGCCATGTGGAAGTAGAGTTTAAGATGATAATATTGGTCATCATGTAAATCCTCTAAAACTATCTACCGCATGCTACTGTATCTATATTTTATTGATATAACTTTCATGTTTATTTTAATACACACTCCAAAATCTCAAATCCCTCATGTAAATTATCCGGGTTAGACACTCGATACACATCATCTCACTCAGAGAGACAGGACTACGATGGTGCTAAACCGGTCCACGTGACAATGGTGATGGGACGAAGAGGTGTGGCGATCGTGGTGTAGTTGGCACACGATGGACAACGGACGGCACAACTCCCCGGGCCTCTGCTATCTGCCGAGTGGCTGCGTCACACCATTACCAATCCAGCTTCACGGCATTGCAAGATAAAATTTCACTTCAGGCCACGCGGCATGCCAAGCAAGTGCGCTATTCTTAACGCGACACTTCAAAAGCAGAATCTTCTGAACGTCCGTAGTTGTTTCATGCATAACCGTAGTTTGCCTGTGTGTTGCCAATTCCAGTTCAAACACCAAATGCAGGCTTCACAGAGCTGTGGGGGTTAATACGGCTGCACTTACTGGACCTGCATTCGCTATGAGACACTAAGTAGAGCAGCTGTGTTCTCATCATGTGTGCTATAGCATTATGATGCTTGGCAACAATCGTTTTCACGTCACTTTATGGCCCACAGTACTGTGTCATAATATGATTTTGGAGATGCATTACTTTTCTAGTTATAATAAAAATAAAAAAGTCATCAAACCGTTTGAATGTACCATGTAGGTTCGGATGAATAATTGATGCAATATGCACAGTGAAGATTTGAAAATGCATGAAAGAGGCCCAAGGAGCTATTCTTAGTCAGGTGCAGAACGAGCGTGACTGGGGCATTATTCATCTCAGACGTGAGCAGTGATTGACTTACAATGCCAGGCACAATGAATGTGTCACTAAATTTAGATGCCTCCTCTTCCTTCTCCTCCTCTTCTTCAGTACATCTAGCTCATAGCTCACCCTAAATCACATCCACTGCACAAACCATGGCAGATGCGGATACCGGATGTACAAATGGAAAATTCAAAACTCTCCAGAAGTGTGCGACGGTGGTCATCCAGTACAGATCATACAACATAACGACGCAATTCCCAATCCACAAATACGAAGAAAATATCACAGCGATCAAACTCCGCTGCTCCTGACGTAGTTATCTGGCTTGACCACCTGAATGTGAAATTGTAGTTGTTGCTCTGCATCTACATTAACCATACAAAAGAAGAAGATTACATCAATGCCACTTTTTGCCAAATTGTTTTCCAAACTCCACACTTCCTAACCATATCCTTTCATGACATTTATAACATTCTCTGCATGCTTCTACACTGAAAAGCCAGAAACGTATCTTCTATATGCTTTGTTAAAATACATCCCTCTGACCCTTACAGCAATATCTATCTCTCTTACCTTAACCATATATATGTATGTTCATACTAAAGATTTCAGTTAGTTTCATCCTATCAAATCCACCATGCCAATGCAGTCTATTAATGTTCTGCATTACAGAACAAACCCACAGGCACTTCTAGAATGTCTACTGTCCCATTGTCTGATGACACCTTTGTGATAGAGATACACATTAGGGCCTTTGTCTAACCACCCAGTAAAAAGATGTCTAAAGTGGCTACAATCTCCAACAAGGAAAAAAAAACCTGGTCCAGTACAATTCCTGAAGCCAGAGGAACATAAAGAGTCGCAGCCTGTGTAAGCAAAGCATCACTCAAGCCAGATGAGCCTGCAGTGGTCAGGAGCATCCCACAGACTGACAGAGGAGTAGCTATTGCTCATTGCATTACCAGCCACCAATAAAGCCACGAGGCTAATTCGTGACCCGAATGAATCTCAGGGCTCACACAGCGTAAAATTACCATGACTGCTAGGAACGCACAATTATTGTAAATTAAAAAAAAGTAACAAACTGACCGAAGAGCAGGGTTGTGGATCACCTAAACAAATGTTAAACTCTACAACCCACTAGGTTTGTGAGGTGGTCATGAGGTAACAGTACAGCAAGTGGGCTCATAAACCCATCTGTACAGAGCTTTGAGAGTTATCCACTGGTATGCATGGTTTTTTCTGAGTACTTAGGGTTCTTTCACGTGAAAAAATACTGCTTTTAAAGGAATCAATTAAACATCCCAATTACGGACCCTGCTCAAAAACATCCCAATTAAGGACAGTGCTGAATGAGGCTTTCCTTGCAAACTGAAGAACAGCCCTGCAATATCTTCTTCTCGCTACTGCTGGCGGAAGAGCCCTCACTCGAGAGAGCTCTAGAGAGCTTCCTTAGATGGAATTTTGGCCTACTCTTTCACAGCAGCCAGATATCTTCAAAGAGGTGGTAGTACCCATAATAGAGGTTTTTGGGTTAGATCACGTAAATATAAATATGTCGTTAAACCCGCCACCATCCGACACAGCCTATTAGTAAGGTTTGTCACATAAACAAAACGTGCCAATTCGTTACTAGTACAACACACCGGTGTGTTGGCGAGCAAACCAACAACATTTACAATTCGAGTGCCGTGATGTTTCGCCGGTAATTGCAACCAGCCTTATCAGACAACAGCCGGAAATTGTGGAGAAATCCTCCTGTTTCAGTTTTAAATAGAGGGATGCAGATAAATGTGATGTTGTCACTTGTGAGCCAATCAGGTACGAAGGCAAAGGGGGGGGGTTAATCTATGCATGTAAATAACAATGGATATCCATCCAGATGGTAGTTCGCAAACTTTACCCGACCACATGCAACCCGCTAATAGACTGCGATGAACCCATTTATACTGCTCGGTGAATAGAGGCCAGGGGATTTAAGAAATGTGCCCCATTGTTTCAACTTCTTGTTGCCGTATGGTTGACGTTGATGCAGAGAAACAACAACAATTTCACATTCAGGTGGTCAACTCAGATAACTTCGTCACGAGTAGCGGAGTGTATCGCTGTAATGTCTCCTTCGTATTTGTGGATCGGGCACTGGTGTCAGTTATATGTTGTACAGTCTGTTCTGGATGACCACAGTCACACACTGGAGAGTTTTTAATTTTCCATTTGTGCATGAGGAATCCGCATCTGCCATAGTTTGTGCGGATCGACCATGAGCTTCGTGGAAGATCATTCCCAGGGATCTTCTGCATTGGTTCTTTCACAATAAGGTGTTTGTTTGTGAGTTCTTTTGAACTCCATTCAATACTCTAAACTTCATCGAGGTTGAACTTGCATTGTTGAAGGTTAATCGTATGGGTCCAAAAGGGCTTGGCATGCCTTCGAGCGATGACGAGGGACCTTAACAAGGTCCTGATTGTTTCAACTGCCCTGGCATGACATCTGGATTGCAAGTCCGGTGTGCTGACCGTTACACCGGGGCAGCATCCTTTCACCGTAAATTAAATGATGTTTACAATTATTCTGAAGAGCACCTGGGCCCTACCTGACGAGAGCCTTGACGGTGAAGCGCACCACCGTGGACAGGAGGAAGAGCGGCGTCACCAAGATGTGGAACAGCGACAGAGACGCGAACGCCACCGACGGGGTCAGCTCGGTCTCCTCAATGTGGGCGTGAGCCACAAACGTCTACACAAAAAACAAAGACAGAGAGCCCCCTTATAGCCTCAACAGACTCTTGGGGCAATCGCTGTTAGCGAGTAAAATCACCTATGAAGGCCGGCAATGGTAAACGAGGGGGTGGGTGGCAAGCACCACGCCCGGCCGTCTTTCTCTCCCCAGTGGTCATGTTTACACACCGTAACCAGGTACTCATTTACAGATGAGTTGACCTAGGGAAGGCCCAGGACAGATAATCGTCACTGGTGTTGGCCGTGAGCAGGAATCAAACTCGGGTCATCGAGTTCTTAGCACAGCATGCTAACCGCTGCGCCACCGCTCCCCACACACACGTGCGCGAGGTTACACGGCTATCAGTGAAATATCCCTGTTATAGTGTTGACAACACAGAAGGAGAAACATTTTCGTGTCAGCTGGAGCTACTTTGCTCTGAAAGATCGCAGTTTGTGATGAACTCCAATCATTGTTTCATCCAAAGCCAAGCAAAATGTTCTCCTTGAGCAATGAGTGAATGAAATGGAAAACAAATGGAGCTGTGTGCCTTCACTTGGGCACTGTCACAAAAAATCCTTTAAAACTGCTTTTTGTGTTTAGTTTGTTGTCCTTCCCCGCACCTCCGATTAGCACGGTGGGCGATGTACGGTGCGAAAAAAGTTAAACATACATACGTCACAATGGTTTCATGATGGGCAGGAAGGAACATGTGTGTGGGTGATACTCACGGCAAGGACGGCTGCAATTGGAATTCCAGCATTCATGAAAACTGCACACACACAGAGGGGATATTTTGAGAACGTCTCAGACCAGTACAGCTGAGTGATAGCATGCAATAGATATTTTCAAACAAATTCAGAAACATTGCACAATTGTTATTGTCAGCAATTTACACTACATATGCATTTGTTGATAATAAAAAAAATCCATACTATATTTGCTGTCGGCTCATTGTTTGTTATTTCTCAAGGACATTGTCCATTACTGTGGGTGCATGCTTAAGTGATTTGGTAAGCATGCATCAAGGTAAATGGCAGTGTGAGAAGATGAGGATCACAGTTGTTTTCACGTCTCTTGTGACAAACGTGGCCCTATTCATGAGATTTGTGGCGCCTGCTTGCTCTTGGTCAGTCCCAAGCTGCCCCAAAGCCAGACCAATATCACCATTCCCTACTAGCAGACTAATCCACATTTGCAGGATGGTGGAGCATTCAACTTGAGTCATGACACCGTGAGAGCTGCCACTGGGCGGTCTCCCTGGTTAGACTCCAGCACCACAGCAGGGCGATGGAGTGGTTAAGATATGATGTAAGGCACTGAGTGAGCTGCTGATGAATGTAAGCCAGTGTAGCAGGTGTGTTTATGCTCGTGATTAAATATGAATATAACTATATTCTTTGGTTCTTTCGGTAAAGTCACGTAGGTAGAAAAATAAAAAATCACGATGTTTCGATCGCAACACAAGCAATCGTCATCAGGTGGGACAACCAGAGCAAGAAAAACTGCTGAAGTAGGCGAGAGATCTGCCGTGGCACGAGGTTATATAGGCCTCGGCAGTAGGGAGGGAGAGAGAAGGGGGGGGGAGGCGGGGCAGAAAGTGGACCGCGCAGCAGCACCCGGGTCACTGGAATAGAGATCAGAGAGAGATGCACAGAGAGAGAGAAAGACAGTAGCAAACTAATGTGAAGTTCACAAATTGGGAGCGAGGGTAGGGCAGCACTGTCTGTGCGGGCCGGGTCGTGACCCAGTGTTGTTGCTGTAATGTAAATAAACACATTTCAGGTGTTTATTAATAAATACAACTTTACAACAGTGCCATTTTAATTAACATTGTTCATTATAAAGTTAACGCAGCTTAGTTCATGAGTGCGGAAGGAATAATCACCAGGCCACTCACTGGTTCTGTGCAGGAAGGAAGGACTGGAGAGAGAATTAGTGGAGAAGAAGAGAGTGGTGCTCGAGAAGGAAAGAGGTTCACTGAACAGGGTGGTCCAGATGTGTTGTAACTCCCAATTCATTGACCCATATTTTGTTTTCCTTTGAATATTCATTTCTGCTTTAAATATAACCTTACTTTTAAAAACTATATTAATTTCTAGAGAATGACATGGGGGTCACGAGACATCCGGACCACCCTGTCGAGTGTGTGCCCCCTCCGAGAGGGGGAACGAGGGGAGAATTGGAACTCACTGGAGAGGGATGTGTAGATGGCAAAGGTCTTGAGGCTCTTGAGTTCCTTCTCCCTCAGGGTCTCCACGCTGGAGCAGAAAATGTTTTCCCAGGCGTACAGTTTGAGCAGCTTGATGCCCTTGAGCATTTCACTCGTCTTCATGAGGCGCTCGTTGGAGTACTCCTGTCCATGCCACATCCAATGTCAGTTGAGGAAAATTACCCGGATATTCACAGCGCGCAAAGTCATCACGTGGTAATAATGGGTCTACGTCAACCAAATGTAAAAGGTGTGTGCACAGTAAACCCTCGCTATGTGCGAGTTCTGGATTCGCGAGTTTCCCATATTCACGAGTTACTATATGTATACTGATTCCCTATTCCTGACCCGCCGGGCTCCAGTGTTTGCGAGTCTACGTAGTGCCGGACCACCGACACCGGGGAGGTGCGTGCAGAATGTTGTTACATTTGAAACGGTCTGCAAAGATTAAGCAAGCCCTCTCGGCTGCCCGCTTAGTCTTCAAGTCTCGCAGTAATCCCGCTCTGACATTGCTACTGTGCATCTTTACTTTATTCTGTATGTACTTGCAGTCAACTGTATGGTCCGTTAAAAAGAACCCGAGAGCAATCGGGGATTGCAGGAAGCTGATTGTTCACATTGGTGATGATATCAGCTGTGAGGAGTAGGTGATGTGAAACTTTTGTTCCTAAAAAGTTTTATTTCAATGAAATGCAATCCAAATATTGTAGTAGTTCTCAACTCATGGGGTCTGTCTCCCCCCCGCCTTCCCCAGCATTTCAGGGGGGGGGGGGGGGCGAGAGGCTGTGGCGTGGATACCATGCAGGAGAATTTTTAATGTGTGCAGGGAACATCAAGCACACCGTAATGCCTTACAAACCACACAAATACACAACATGAAACAAATGCCTTTTTTAACTCCGCGTTGACTAGAGGCAGTGGATATGTGACCTCTCTGTGGTTCTAATTGGGGGGCTGACATACCGAGCAGGTTGAGAACAACTGATGCGTGGTGGGGAAAAAAACATTTAGCTTTTTAAAAAGGAATGCCTCGAGGGACGTCATTCCTACCCAAGGCTATAGTAATTAAGGATTGGCTGGCCCATACAAATTGGCAACCGGTAAAAGATAAGTATATATGTGATGCAACATAGCTCTAACATGAAGAGCACGCTTATTACCGGGAGGGAAAGGTAACAAGAAACACGAGTACACATTTCAGCATGCGTAATGTGAATTCAGTCTCAAACAAGGAAGTTAAAGCCATTGATTAATGGAATAATGGGATAAGTGGAGCAATTAAAGACATTTACTTGATGCAGTGGCTATTTAAGTTTCAGACAACATCGGTAGCGGTCATTCGACCCTTCCTGAAAACGATCACAAGAAAAACACCGTCACCGCTTAAGCTAAAGAGTAAACGTGGTTTCGTTTGTGGAAAAAAGTTGAAGTACATTCACAGGAAACTACATTTAATTCGTTTAATGACTGCACTGCATGACGATGACGATGATGCACTGTGTTTTTGAATGCCGACAGATGCCATTTAGCTGTAAATGCCAGAAAGCATTTAGCTGTCTGTGCTTCTCAAGGGGGCAGGTGTCTCTCAGCCACACCGATGAACAGCCTGAGAAGACTCTAGAGCTGGGTCAACGCATAGGCAGTAGGACGTATCGTTAAATCGTATTTACGTTTAGAGAAGTCGAGACTGAGAGCACCATGGATCATTTCATGTAAAGCCCAAGCAGTTTTTCTTTGGTCGGATTAGATGTGGAAAACCTCTCGGAGTGATTTCTGCTTGGCATTAACTTCAGATTGAGACCAGGGTGCGACGTGTCTAGATGTATCACAGCATTCGAATGCACGTGCGGCTCCCGAAGAAGCTCCCAGCAAGTGGCATGAGATGTAGGACATTATGCCGAACAGCACGCGGTACAGCCCACAAAACACGTTGCAAAAACGTGTGCAGCACACGTAAAATATTTTTGTGTGAGCATGTACACACACGTGGCTTTTGTTTTCCATTGCCACGATATCGGACAATGAAAGACATTACGTTATATTCACTTCATCATCACGCACATCAAAAAGCATTTTCACGATCACTGGTTTGTGTTTACATCTAATGCATGCTGCGTGTGTGAAAATTTTGAGATAAAATATTAACGACCAATAAACGAATGCTCGTCTCAACATTATGGCCCTCTTTGTTAATCCCTGCGTGGAATGGAAGTTATTTTACCATGCCGCATGTCGGTAAGTGGGGGTTAGTGAAGGAAAGCAGCATTGATATGGTCGCACAGTACAGTACAACAATGGTATATTTTCTGCATTTCCCCCTGCTGCCCATTACCTATCACAGCCACAAAACATCAAATTATCATAAAGGTTTTTGGTTCTTGGTTAAATTGCATAAATATAAATGCGTTGATAACCCACCACCACCCGACACAGCCAATTAGTAAGGTTTGTCACGTGAACAAAACGTGCCAATTAGTTACTGCTTCAGCACACCGATGTGTTAGAGAGTAAACCCATAACGTTTAAAATTTGAGTACAAAACAAAAAACAACTTCACTATGATAATTGGTTTATTACCCTTCTATCTGGCAACAAAACTGACACCTTTTTTTTTACAAGGAGTCATGTTTGCATATACCGCAATACCTGCAGTCATCTGGTCCAACCCATGTGAGACTAGGCTCTAAGGAAAGCTGTCTCGGGTGTGGACCAATCAACTTCAAGGACAGTGCACATTGTCAGAGTTATGTCTTATGTTTGTATTATGACTGCAGGTATTGCGGTCTATGCAAACATGACTCCTTGTAAAAAAAAATAGGTGTCAGTTTTGTTGCCAGATAGAAGGGTTAAAAACCAATGATCATATTTTTACTGGCAAATGAGGTTCCCATGGTGTAAAAAACTTCACTATGAATATATTTCCCACGAAAGCCTACGAGTTAAAGCAGATCAATCACTGAAATAAAGAAATGTCCACCGCCCAATGATGACATGACGGAGCGGTTTAGTCGTTGGGCCACCAGGTGAGGGCCAGCTCGGTGAGCGTGGTGGTGCGCACTCCTCACCAGCGTGCACTTCTGCACGTCGGCCAGCTTGGTGGCGATGTAGTACTGCGCTGGGGCGAGCAGCGCGATCACCGTGGCCCCGATGAGCGCACTCACTCCCAGCTGGTTATACAGGAGGATGACCCCCATCACTATCTGCGCGACAAAAGACAAAGATCCCCCGCGTAGCCTTAAGAAACTTTTGGGGCAAGTTCTGTGAGCGAGCGCCTATGTTGGCCAGAATGGCACACGAGGGGGTTGGTGGCCCACACCATGCCCGGCTGCCATTGTCTCCCCAGTTGCGATGTTTAGACACCACACCAGGCACTCATTTTAGGCTGAGTCGACCTATGGTCGGCCCAGAACCGATTCATATTATCGTCACTGGTGTTGGCCGTGAGCGGGAATCGAACTTGGGTTGCCGGGGTTTGTAGCGCAGTGGGCTAACCGCGACACTACCGACACATAGCAGGACCAGAATGTCTAAAATGTGTCTTGCCCAAGTCTTGAACAGGTCCACTCAACATTTCCTGACAGTTAAAACGATAAACCTAATTTGTGTCTCTCTCTGTTTATCAATGCAAATCAAATTGTTCATACTTCTTTGTGGACTCTTCTGCCATTTGTTAAAATATCATATTACGTGGAGGGACATACAGTATATATTTTCTCCTTATTTATCCTTTGTAAGGTAATTTCCCATCTCCCGTCCTGGATCGGCGAAGTAGTCGATGTTGATTACTCAGTCACCTGAGGCACAAGGTTTGCTTGGTGAAATCGGCCTGAATAATTATGTCAGCAGTAGTGAACCGCAAAGGACATAGGAAGCAAATGATTATCGTCTAAACCTAGAAACAGCAGCACGGCAATTTCAGATCTCCATATTCCTGATAAAAAATAAAATTAGTACATATATATACCCTTAAGCATAGCTATTAATGGCACGTGTTTCAAGTTTATACATTTGAGTTTATGTAACATCTTTATACAGCCATGGAGTTAATATCTATACGTCTCAGAATAAGGTGGCTCATGGACATGAGCTACGGAAAATGACTGAAAAACTCGACAAAGATGGGTGCCCTAGTTGGGCCAAAGGTAAATATGAGCAAAACAAAAGTATAACAAACTTTAAATTAATTGGTGTAGGTATCCAACTGGTAAATACAACGGAATATGTATTCCTAGGACAGTTGCTGTAGGCAGATTGGGATAAAAATCCTGAAGAGGCTAATCGAGAACACGAAAGAGCAATTTTGGAAAACTACATTTGACAACGAAAAGCAACAAATTATCCGTGATGGCTTATGGAACAGAAACTTCTACCTCTCAAGCCATAAGCACACCTCTGAGGACCCCCAAAAAAGCTCACAGGTCCATGGGAAGCCCTGGGCCACAGCGCACCCATTGCAGTAACCGCATCGTCACACCGCGCGGAGCCCGTGGCACGGCAATCCCAGTGGAAGAACCTACCTGGACTGGCATGGCCCAGAGGTTGGGGCACAGGAACATAAACCACATGAGCTGGTTGGTGTCAATGGCCACGAGGTTGCAGATCTGCCCGATGGTCATCTCCCCCATGGACATGTTGGATGTGGACAGCCTTAGGATTTTGTTGTAGATCGTCGTCTGAAGGAGGACACAAACACGCACGCACTGAAGGCTACCAACATTACAGCATGTTACAAAAACAGACACGCCTTATACAAACAGCGCTGTGTGGGTGTACAGAACACTATTGTGGGTACATTATGTCGATATGTTTTTTAGTGTGAGAGGTCTGTTGCTCGAATGGATCTTGAGCCCAAAGTGTCTCACTGCTCAGACGATCAGCGGGGCTATTGATCATCGCTATTTGTCATTCTACGCCAGTGGCAGACACCTCACCACCAGGGCAATGGTCTTGTCATGGTAATGACCACTGTTACATTCCCCCAGGGCAGCACTGTCTTGATTGCTCAGTAACCTAAGTAATTTGGACACTGAGGGCTGATCAGCACTTTTTTATTATTATTTAACCAACATCAGTCATCACATCAGAGAGCATATACCAACACGGGTAACATCAGCATGGCGAGGGGGGGGGTGACGTGTGCTTTTCTCCTTAAACAGGAGCAGGTTAAGGTGGACCAGGTTTATGTAACTAACCCAACCACTCTCTCGGGTCGAGGGTACTCTGAGCGTAGAGAAAATCCCGGAGCCCATCCTCCTACCTCCGCACCCTTTTACAGTTTTGGGTGTTCTAGATTAACTCTACGGTACGCTCCTATATCCAGACCCTACATGGGGTTACTGAGGAGTGACGCCGGCGGCCCTGTGCCACCCCGTGCCGCGTCGTGCAACCCCGTGCAGGCGAGTCCTCAAGTGTCTCTCTCTGACCTGTATGGCTCCCCGCAGGTTGATGCCAGTCTCGATGGCAACGTAATAGGAGGCCTGCAGGAATGTGCGCTGCAGGATGAGCGCCAGGAAGAGCAGCACCGCGAGCACGTAGGCGTTGGCCAGAAACTCCCGTGACGAGATGAAGTACACGCCAAAGAACTTGTCCTGGGAATTGGCACAAAGCACATGGCTAAGGCAGCAGAGGGACTCGCTGTCAACGAGCCACATTTCAAGAATTTCACTTCAAGGACGGACACAGCCAAGATGTTGGATTCGTTTATAGTAACCATTTTAAATGTTTTTTACGCAGAGACCAATGCGATGTGTATTTTCCCTCTGCTTAGCCACCAATGCTACATGGAACATTAGTGTTAGATATATGTGATGTAATTTTCACCGTGTGCTGCACCTCCTATTAGCATGGTTGGCTACGTACGGTGCAAAAAAAGTTCAACATGCATACACTAAATTCTATCACATTGGCATTGTCAACCCTTAGCTCCAAAGTGCACGATTAGACTGTAATTCTATCTCAAACGCCAAATGTTTAATGCAATTCACTCCAAAATGTATCATGCACAATGTTGTAACAATGGATGGTACAGGTTTAAAACGGGGAGAATGATACAAGAATTCGGAAGCCAGTGAAGGCACGAACACCAGCCGCATTCCTGATACACTAGTGCCCTGTCCGTGTGCCGCTCGCGATCCCACAAAGAGGCTACAGCACTCGCAACTTGTCATCAAGTGCATGCGTCGCGCGTATCAGCAGCCACTGTCTCCGATCGTGAGGCACCCGGGGATGATAGCAGTGCACGCGCAGGGCAGGTATGGTGCCGGCTCAAAGCCCAAATCAGTGGCGGCTCGGCACTATGTACTGTACGTATGTTGAACTTCTTTCGCACCATACATAGCCAACCGTGCTAATCGGAGGTGCATTAGAGGCCGGTGGGGCAGGGCCCCACTCATGAAAAGTACAAATTGAGGAGAGAAAAAAACTCAAACACAATACATGACTCCTCATTATAACTATTATTGCTTGCATTAAATCCTTCAACCCACCCCACCCCCACTCTTTCCCTGCTCCCCCTCCCCCCACGGTCTTCTATACCCTACCAATATATTGAACCCATTGATATAATCAAATACCTGTCTGCCATGCACTGAAGGATGATTCTCACAACAACACATTTGGAAATCAATCATCAGCTGGTGTGTTAATTTATCGAAACAAAACTCCTGTTCAAGATTCAAGCTTTTTTTACGTGCTGCATAATGTTGTTTGAACTATTAAAGTAAACCTGACTTTAATATGTATTTTAAACGTTGCATCATAATATAATATATTTATGTATTTCCAAGCAGAACAACTGAAGAGGATCAATAATTGTTTACATTGTTTTTAACATTTTATCTGCACAATGACACCTTGCTATATTTGCACTATGTTACCCTATTTGTATTTTTGTATTTTTATATTGTATATTATAGCTATTTTATAATTTATATTTCATTCAAATGTTTTACATACTTTAGCCCCTTAGTATTAGTTAGACTTTGTATCTTTAGTATAGTTAGATTTGTACACCACTTATTTAAGATTTAAGATTACTGTATGTTGAACATATGCACCTTCCTGCCAAAGTAAATTCCTTGTCTGTGCAAACTTTCATGGCGAATAAAACCCTTTCTGATTCTTATTATAGACCTTTTTAATTGAGGGAGTGGTGGCACCATGATTCGCAACCTTTGCATTTTGAAGCTGGCTACCTAAATCCCAGCGTAGGCCAACGCCAGCAGCGAGTGATATGTGAACCAGAGTGGTGAAATATGGTCAAACAACCCCATCGGTAACATAGAATTAGGAAGGCCTTCATCTAGCAGTGGATTGACAAAGGGTAATTCGTTTTTTATTAACACATTTGAACAAACATGGGGAAGATTACAACACAAATAGCAGTGCTTTATTTATCCGTGAAATACTGAATCTCAAGGCTATCATTCCGGAGGATCCTGAATTTGGATGTTTAGTCCATTTACTAATATTTGGCATGAGTATTTGTTATATTAATATGCTTGCGGGACACTATATAAGTATAATACCAAACTTCATTGCATAGGAGCATATGGGCTTCACGAATTGACACCCATACGAATCCTAAGGATTATAATAGTCTGTCCCTATGAGCCTCAAGCACTTACAGTAAACCGAAAGAATCCAAATGTTACCTGAGTCTGGGCTCTGAACCTCAGGTATTAACAATGAATCACATGCATTATTTTGTGTTTTTTAGATCATGTTAAGAATCTTTACGGTGCCGTGGTCAAAATGTCAAAGCTTGAAGGGGCATTGTTATGGAACTTTGCGCTCACCTTATCCCAGATTGAATCTGTGGTGAATGTGGCGTTTCTAGTGGCACCGTGTGCTTGCCCGTGGGTCCATAATGACGAACCAATTTGTGGCACCACGTCTTTCACTTTTTTCACTTGCTGCACGACAATCAGACACATTTAGCTACTAGAGTGGCACTGTGCTGCATGCACAATGAAAAAAAAAATATCGCATGTTACAAATATCGTTTAACAGTTATTTTTTGGCTTTTTTTAATTCTGGCTGTCACCTGATGAGTCTGGTTGCAATTGCCGGCGAAACATCATACTTGAATTTGTAAATGCTCTGGGTTTAATCTCCACCACACAGGTGTGCTAAACTACTAACAAATTGGTATGTTTTGTTTACGTGACAAACCTTACTAACTGGCTGTGTCGGTGGAGGCGGTTTTAACAATACATTTATATTGACAAAATTGTAATTAACATTCCCATGTGGTTTTATTGTGAGATGAGCTGACTGAGCTTGTAGGGCGAGCAGCTTGCAATCAAAACTTCGTGAGTTCAAACCCTGGTTGGGGTCGACTCAGCCCATTGTCCCTCTGGTATGTTTAAACTTAGTTCCGTACCACTATGTGGGGAAGGCAACAGTGGTCGTCATTTGGATAGACTATCCTCTACCATAGGAATGTTGAATTTCCACAACTGACTCACGGCTTATAAAGAGGAGATGAGCACCAATGCCCCAATGGCCATTTCAGCCAGGTATTTCTTTGACTTTGATTGTGAGAAAATAGTCCACAGATACCAGCAGTGACTCAGTCCCCAACATGCAATGTGACAAGATGACATGAAGTATCGCAATTACATTGTATCATAGGTTTCATTCGTATTTTTGTTCTACAGTTGTATTTATCCTCATTATAAAATGAATTAATAAATAAACAATCCAGATAAATACTTGCTATAAAAAAGCAAGAATTTAGAAATTTAGAAGACTGTCCAAATTTGGGTGCTTTTGGTAAAGACAGGATTTATATTAATACTTTAGCCGGTAATGTTCTTAGATATTATCAACAAAAACCAAAAGTGGTGAATGCTACTACATCCCCTGTAAAAGGAAATGGACTAATTCCACACAGCTGAGTTATAACTACATCCACATCGGGCTCTCCATCCCGTTCTAATTGTGGTCATAATACTGTCGACATACACTCACGATGGCTATGTTCGTATTCATTCGACTAGAGTTTTGCCAAAATGCCATCAGAAACTCTACCCTTCATACTCGGTCGTGTAAGAAGCAATCCTGAAAACTAAGCTAGATTGAATCAACATGGCTATAATACAGAGGTATTAGTTTTACTGCAAAAATTACAGCATCAAAATACTAACCAATTTGAAAGAACAGTCAGCCAATCGCAAAGCTGCAATAAAAACCAGGAAAGTGTGACCCCGAGCAAGGACATCAGAAAAAAAAAATACGTCAACTATACGTAGGTTTAATTTTAGGGGAGCTCTACCAAAGATAACCAACAATATTAAAATAAAAAATAGTTAAGATTACATGCATCTTTTTGGTTCTTCCGGTAAAGTCACGTAGAAAGAAACTAAATAAAATAAAATAATAGAATACGAGGTTTCGATTGCAACACAAGCAATCATCATCAGCAATCATCATCTGATGATCGAAACGTCGTATTCATCATCTGATGATGATTGCTTGTGTTGCAATTGAAACGTCGTACTCTATTATTTAATTTCCAGCAGTCAGGAAAGCTCCAAAACAAGTTTATTACATGCATCATTGTCAAAATAAATATAGGTCGTATTAAACCAGGGCTGTGCATCTACAGAACACAGGTGAAATCACATTCCACTTACTCGATTGGCCCACCCCCACGTGTCACACGACACCAGGAGTCCAACTGGTGTCACGTTCCGGCAGCTACTGCCGCTGTGAGAAGAGGTTTGCAGCGAGTGCGCAAACCGAGTCAAGCCGGTAGAAGAGTCTGACCTGCGGGTGCAGCTTCTTGTCCTTGTTGCTCAGGTGGTGGACGATGCCCCATATGCAGAGGGGGCCGGCGAAGCCCAGCAAATCGGACAGGTAGCGGTAAGTGCTGCTCAGCAGGATGGGCCGGCCGAAAGCACGGTACAGCGAGCGCCAGATGGAGGGGGGCTGCGCCTCTCCGGCAGACAGCTGCGGAGAGAGAGCGGCAGAGAAACGCATTTCTCAGCTAGCACCGCACACACACACGCAGCCGACGCCACCAGTGCGCAAGTACGAGGCCAGGCAAAATGAGGCAAGTTACTCGGCAGTCTCCCTCACACGGCAGGTGTGCGAGACCTGTAGCGGTTATTACAGAGAGCACCGTTGCCTGCATCTCGTATTCTTGCAAGCCGTGCAAGATATGCAGGCGTAGAAAAAGGTCGCTTAGTTAATCGACATTCAAATTTGGACCCCCATTGAAAGCGTGAATTAGATAATTTGCCTGTTATGTACAGCAACTCTCCGATGTGCTTTTGGGTTGTTTGGCATGGTGTCCGACGTTTCGCTCCACATGCTGCGAGCGATACAACACGAAAAGACATCAGAAAGCTGTGCAGCTAAATGGCGAAAACCTGCACAGTGACATGTGCAGTAACTCCTAAATATGTGTTACCAGTGCAGAACTAGGTGGTAGCTAAGAAGACGAATCCTGATGTCATAATAATCAGACAACACTTGGTAGAGACTGGTCCATGTCATGCAGCACTACTGCAGATTGTCTGTGTGTAGTAAATTTTGTGTGGGAATGATGAAGCCAATCACTGCACCAACCCCTTCACATAAGCCACGTGACTTTAATTGTACTTGCAGCCAGGTTGCCTTCTTGTAGCTCATCTATTATATTGGTTTAAAAAAAATGGCAATGTTTTATTTTAAGTTCAATGTGTAGATGATGGTCGGTCAAAGCCTTTGGCAGCAAGTCATTGACTTATTCATTTAGCTTGGTTGTAACACCTCCGATTAGAACGGTTGGCTAAGTACAAGGCGAAAGAAGTTCAACATACATACATACAACACCCTGCTGCCTTCCTCAGGGGGCGTTATACCTTACTGCTGAGGGGGTTGAGACCCACCTGAGGAAACTAGTTGGGATAAACTAGTTGGAATAAGCAAGTTTGAGGCTGGGGCGTTCTGCTTCTGTAGGGCCCAGAAGCATCACAATGTTTAATGTATCAGACACCACGCCTACACCAGTTCGTAATATGCACACGCGTGCAAGGTGCATCGTCTTAAACGTGTTTATTTTGTCTCTTGCGGTAGGCAACGGGAGAAATCCTATAATGCGGCTACGACACGGGATACCTTCTGCTCCTCGTAGGCGTTGCGAAAGCGGATGTAGTTGGTGAGCGCCCGCATGGCGATGGGCAGCTTGCCGATGCTCTTGAGGTCGATGGGGCGGCGGTGCGCGCTCGTGATGAAGGCGTTCATCCACCAGTAGGTGGCCTTGGACAGGAGGTTGACGAACGGCTGGAGGAACCGCACGCCCAGGTCCTGCAGGTCCTCGGGTGGCTTCACCTTCTTTGGGTTGCGGAAGCCAACGTACTTCTGTGACCGAGGGGGCACGGAGGGACAAATGCGGCCGAGCTCGGCCATTAGGGTTAATGTACTCGAATGTGGCCACAGTGGCCTGTGAATGGACGCGTGGCCACAGTGGCCTGTGAGTGGAGGCGTGGTCACAGTGGCCTGTGAGTGGAGGCGTGGCCACAGTGGCCTGTGAGTGGAGGCGTGGCCACAGTGGCCTGTGAATGGAGGTATGGTCACAGTGGCCTGTGAGTGGAGGCGTGGTCACAGTGGCTTGTGAATGGAGGCGTGGCCACAGTGGCCTGTGAATGGAGGTATGGTCACAGTGGCCTGTGAGTGGAGGCGTGGTCACAGTGGCTTGTGAATGGAGGCGTGGCCACAGTGGCCTGTGAATGGAGGTATGGTCACAGTGGCCTGTGAGTGGAGGCGTGGTCACAGTGGCTTGTGAATGGAGGCGTGGCCACAGTGGCCTGTGAATGGAGGCGTGGCCACAGTGGCCTGTGAATGGAGGTATGGTCACAGTGGCCTGTGAGTGGAGGCGTGGTCACAGTGGCTTGTGAATGGAGGCGTGGCCACAGTGGCCTGTGAATGGAGGCGTGGCCACAGTGGCCTGTGAATGGAGGCATGGTCACAGTGGCCTGTGAGTGGACGCGTGGTCACAGTGGCCTGTAAGTGGACGCGTGGTCACAGTGGCCTGTGAATGGAGGTATGGTCACAGTGGCCTGTGCATGGATGTGTGGTCGCTAATGTGTGCAAGTGTTGCTCCGTCCAAAATGGAGGTGCAAAATTGTTGAGTTAAGCTGAAGATGATGATGGTGAAAATAATGACATGGATGATGATGAATATGCTAATGAATAGTATGATGATTATGACAGCAATGATGTGGATATGAAGATGGCAATACAGATGGTGAAAGATGTTCCAATTTGTGCTTGTGATGTTGATGATGATGATAATGGTGTTGCTGCTGCGGTTTATAATGATCCACCAACCCTCACCAACTCTCATCTCATGCAGATCCACCAACTATAGTCTCCAAAGCATTGCATCGCTGAGTTGACCAAGTGAAGGCTCAGAACAGGTGCCAATAAAGTTTGCAACGGCTTGGAATTAAACTCGCTGGGTTCGCCATGCAGTGCTACTCCCTCAATCAACTGGGAGGTGGTGGAATGATAGCTAAAAAAGGGCAGGAACGAAGAGACAAATTCGTTTGTGTGGAAGGTCTCGCAAGGGAGCTCGATTTACACGATGAGATGAAGAGGACCAAGTAAGACGAGCAGCTAAACCCATATGAAGACAAATGTGAGAAACTCTGAAGGAGCACTGACTACAAAGTAAGGGCAGAGGCAGGTCACAGATTGACGTGGAGAGTGGCCACAGAGACAGGCAGGGCATGCTCATTGTTTCATAATTCAATTATATTTTATATGAGGAGAAATCATTCAGCTTGGGAAAAGAAATAGCATAGTCCAATATGTATATATGTTGAATTTCTTTTGCACCGTACATACTGGAGGTGTGGCGGAAGGACAACAAACGAAACATAAAAAGCAGTTCTAAACAACAAGATAAAGCACTAATGCATGGGAAAAATAAACCATCTTGTTTGTGATTCATATTTTGGCAGAGGTCCACTTGACCGTGGTAGAGTTAGTCCGATTTGGTGAAGCGAATGGAACAATAACAACACACATTGCTCCGCCAATCCCACACGGCCTTCTGCCAACGCATGAGTCACCCCTTGTAAGTCCAGACCACGCTGTTCTTGTCAGCACAATGGTATTTTTTATTCAGTATCACGCCAATGTCATCGACTGATTCATCCATATTTCTTTTCCACTCTTATCCCATGCCTACCCCAATCTCTCCCACTCCCTCCTAAAATCTTTCATCTCCGTCTGCCGCAACTACACCATTCTCTATTAACGATTTCTATTACCCAACATACGGTTGATGCCTCTGAGGTACAGCAAATCAGGACATATCATGTGAAGAAGTATATCTCACAATACCAGAAGAGGGGAGAACTGCACGTAAGCAAAATTGCATTGCATTATTATGCAACTGACGAAAACCAGGATTGTCAGTGTCCTGGCAAGACTTACATTTTTCCCAGGGCAGCTCCCACATAAAGAGGACAATCCTGGGAAAACTGGGACTGGTGGCAACGTATGGGTGCCACTGTGGCTGGAATACAGGAGGTCGTAAGTTCAATCCCTACCTTGACGCCTACTGCTGTATATTTGGAGTTTGCATGTGTTTCTCTCTCCCTGTGGTCGTGTGGACTTAGAATCAACATCACACATTTTAGAGTATTTGGATGCTTAACATTTCCAGACGATAAGCCACTTCGTTGAGCCATCATTTCTGATGACCAGGTCACTTCTGAAAAAAGAGCTACATAGCTCAGTGGAGGCCTTACCTGGTAAGATTTAAAAATAGTTGATAGTTTAGTTTTCTTATCCCTGACGAACACGCAGGGTGCGTGTCTCCCCTGTATGTATGTGTGTATGTTGAACTTCTTTCGCACCGTACATAGCCAACTGTGCTAATCGGAGGTGTGGGGGAAGGACAACAAACTAAACATAAAAAGCAGTTTCAAAAAAATGAGTTTTCAATCTAGATGATTTAAAAGTAATATCGGAAGGAATAGTGTTCCAGACGGCCGCAGAAGCACATCTGAAAGTACCACGATGCGGTGACTGCCTTTGTTTAATGGCCAGCCAAAAGCCGCTGCTGCGAGGATGACCAGAGTTCACGCGATGATGGTTTACGCTCCTTGCTGACGAGATCAGCGAGGTACTTGCTTGTAACGGCCTGGGCGCGGGGGCCGCCCCAGGCTCGCCGAGGACCCACCCGCATGCGGATGACGTTGAGCTCGACGGAGAGCAGCATGCCGTAGATGAGCACCAGCAGCCCCGTGATGCAGAAGCGCAGCTGGTTGAAGCCGACGCCGTGCTCGCAGAACTTCACCAGCTTGATGGTCTTCATGGTGAAGGCCAGCAGCCAGTAGACCAGCAGGGCTGCGGAGGGGCACAGAGACAAGGATCCCCACGTATAGCCTTATAGGGAACTTGGGGCAAGTGTTGTTGGTGAGTAGCGCCCACGAAAGCTTGCACGGTATACGAAGGGGCGTGGTTGGCCAGCACCTATCATGTGTATATTTATAGCAGCCAAATACTCTAAAAGCACATTAATAAATGTGGAGGGAAAAACCGGAGGACTCGGAGAAAAATCCACACGACCACGGGGAGAGCGAGATGCAAACTTCAAATATACAGGAGTCAGGGTCTGGATCGCAGTGGTTATGGCAATCTACCATGAACCCAGCGACCTACGATTGATTCCTAGCCACGACTAACATTAGCTACGAGTGATATCTGAACAGTGCTGGAAAACCCCCTATCTGCCTTCAACAATCCACGCTTCCCTGCACGGTGAAGTATGGTCAGAGCCCCCCATGACTGACAGTGTGTGGGGAGGGATTGATCCAGCAGTAGATTTACTCATGGATGAACATATTTTATACAATTCGACAGCAACATAGAATGATGCTGTATACTAAAGAAAAAACGTAAAGTATTTAAAAGTGCTACAAATAACAACACTATTGTGTGTATTTGTAGTGAAATTTAACTTACAACATTTCCCCAAAGAGTGGATGATTCACGCTTGTCACTCTCCCACACCCTCCCTTAAGCTACTGGTTTCCCATCTCCAGCGTCTGAGCTAGAATCATTCCAGAATGTCCAGAAATTCACAGAAGGAAATTGTAATTGTGTAGTGAAGAGTTGTGTATGATAGTGATTTAGCAAAACAAGTTTACAGGATGTAAGCCGATGCTTCGTAGGTGGCATCAGTGCAAAGCTCCCCTCTGGTTAACTACTGTGGTGAATGCAGTTCGATTCAAAGTCTGGGAGACGTTAGTGCTTCCAGGAATAGTTTTCCACATTAAAACCATCCACTCAGTGGTTGTTGGAGATTCCAATGGCTTGTTATTCAAGATCTATATCGCATGGTGAACCTCAGTGAAAGTCACTGAAAACTGATTTCCTCCCACATGTATACACACTCATTAATTGCCTGAAGGAAAACATATTTCACAGAGAACTGCAGAGCTTGGCCAATTATTGGTGGTGCCGGCTCAAAAGGAAGTTCTGCTGCCTCCCTTTTTGTACGAGGTTCCTCAGTGATTGTGAGATACAATTTGCATAAATTATGCCGTATAAAACGAAACATTATTACTATTATTGGAGGCCAGCAAAAATAATTCTCAAAATAATATAAGACCAGCGCAGCTGAATGGGACCTCCAATGTTTTTCAAGAAATATTGAAATTACTGCTTTGCAAACCTCTCGATTGTAAAATAAATACATAAACGAGTCACTCCATGAGAAGCAGACTATGCACATGAAAACACATAAGAAGATTATGGGTTTAACATTTGCTAAATATATATAAATAGCAATGGATGTTGGTTTAAATGTTTTACTGCCGTATGCTCTGACTTATAAAAGATGCACTTTTTTTCTTGAATGTTAAAGAAAAAGTCGGGGGTGTGTATTATAATTCGGTTGAGGTGTGTGTGCGTGACTAGATTTGTGTAATTCTATTGACACCGGGCACAAGTTTGGGGTACATTTTACTTTCTCATGCGCCTTATTATTTGGAGCACATGGATACATTTTTGTTCCCTGAGATCCATTTTGAACTCGAGATTTGTTGTTGAGAAACGTCATCATAAAGAAACGTGATACACTGTACATCACCAACAACAACAACGGTATCAGGATGGAGGCAACCCAGGTGATACCGCAAAAGGGGCTTAACTCTCCTCATTCTTTTCTGTATCTCTCTCTAGGCAAGCAACGGACACTCCTTCCTGCCCATGACATCACGGCAGGAGGGAGTCCCCAGTGCTTCCGGTGCAATGTCCATCCCACACACGACGATGTGGATTGTGTTGCAACAGAAAGCCAGAGACTTCCTTCCAGGTGCAAATGTCAGGTTAGTTACAATCACAGAATTATTATTTAACTTATCACCGGTGGAAATGTAAATTGTTCAATGCTAAGTTAGTACAATCCTTTCTGTAATGAATGTATAACAGTAACTTCTCACACACACGGTTCCATGCGTGTATCACGACTCTAACATCTACCAGAATCGACAAAACAATGTATAGTCTCACTCTGCTATGTAAATACTCCACCACGGAGGAACTATATCATCCAGGTGGTGTCAGAGTGTGACTACAGTACCTCTCTCTGCTCTTTTGTATTGATAAAATCGAGAATATTTGCATGCAAGGAGAATCGCAGAGTGAGCTGACTGCTCTGTTGCACCCCGCTGGACTGCATAGTCATTGTTTTTGTTGTTTTCTCATTCATGTTATACAACCCACCGAGCAGAAGCTTGGGAAAGTTGGACGTTTCGATGTTGTGGTAGTAGACGATGGAAGTGGTGGCAGCGATGAAAGCCATGATGGCCGGCATGTAGAGGTGCAGGTGGCGTGACTCCATGAACCTGCCCGTTACACCAACCAACACACGCACGCACGACGCATTAATTTCACTTTATTTAAAGCTTTATTTTCTCTTTTCCCCCAATTGTATCCTGAGCACGCTCTCGATGTTGTGCCATGAGACGATCCATTTGGATCTCTCGCACTGCATTATGATGCTTAGTATTAGAGAATGGGCCACGGAAGCGGACACGACAGAGCTACCGCTGAAATCCCTTCAGGTGACCTGTGGTCCACATAGTAAAGGGGTAACACATTTCCACCAGCTCTATAGGTGGGACAGAGCTGAACCAAAGTTCAATGCAATGCCCTTTTTGTGCAATTAATTCTTTAGCCCGACCGAGACAATTTATCCACTCGAGAACTCGGTTTAATCCCAGGTGACTGCCTGGAATTGAACCTAGGATCTCAGCAGTTCCAGCTCAGCGCATCTGAGGCACCTGGCTATCTCATCTTAAAACCTATTAAAACAAATCTGATTCCTGAATTTTTTTTACTAAATTCATCTTGTTTGATAAACCAGTACTTTTGTTACAACATAATTAAGAGCCTCATAATATGTATTGGCTTACTGCCAGTACTGTACCATCCATAGCCATCGCTCAGACTGCCGCATTGCTTGGTATTGAGTATCAGGAGCAAGACAGCATTCAGTATCTGTGGTATTAGTCATCATATAAAGGAGAAAATGTAGCTATTAGTCCTAATAACTAAAAGGTTGATTACATTTTAGTATCTGCGGTAGCATGGTGGTCAGAGTACTGCACTATGAACCCGGCAACCTGAATTTAGTTCCCGGCGATGGCTAACATAATTTTGAAAAACTGCATTCTTACCTGACAGCAGACATTATATTAACAGCACCCCAGTTCCTATTGCAAGTGAAGCCATAAGTGGTGTGCGCACTCACATTTGTGACAATTACTAAGTCTTTTTCCCCCAGCCTGTGTCGTAAGAATTCGGGGCTGGCAAGTCTCACGCACTGCGCGTGTGGCATGCGCAGGCCCATGGGCCCCATCACACACAAGACGTGGTGTGGCTGTGTAACCCGTTTACAGCCTCTGCTATCCACCCCCACCACCACCCGCGCCAACACCGACATGCAAACACTCTGTACAAACACCCACCAATCGCAAGCAATCGGCATGAAAGCTGCCCCCTAAAAAAAAACACTCACCAGCACTGCAGTACCTGGCAGCTGACAATGCAATTTACAAGTGAGATTCACCGACTGGCAGCCTTGACAGTGGAAATGATCGGTAAATATGATGCATTTCTCATACTGAAACCTGACAAGCCAAGAAGCATCACTACTACCATCACTACGAGCATCACGTTCCGTTTGTGTGGGAGGTGTCACCGCATTCGTTTGCGTGGTGACGTCACCACATTCCGTTTGAGTGGCCGACGACTACCATCACGAACATCGGCTGCCCTGCCCATGCCGCTACACCTGAGCTACGCCCATGTTAAACCTTTACCTGGCAGCCCTTTCATTGGTGTCGTTGCCCACTACTATCATCACTTACATTAACATTAGCTGCCCTGCCCATGCTGCTGACACTTCGACTATGCCCATTTTAAACCTTTAGAAACAGCTTGCCTTTAGAGGCTAACCCCCATTTTCCTGATGACGACCGCTTGTGTTGCAATCGAAACGTGGTGGTTTTTATTTGTATTTTATTTTAATTATTTTTATTCACTTTATTATTCTTTTTCTATCTACGCAACTTTACTGAAAGAACCAAAGAAGAATAATAATGACATAACGTGCCAGATTTTGCAGACAAGTTAACAACTCAGAGTCACGGAGCCAAGCTCAGGGCTGCTCAAAAGCATGACTCAATACAGATAGAGAGGCCTTTAGATGTTTCTTGAAACTAGTCAGAGTTCATTGATGTTGCGGATGTGCAACGCGATTTAAGAGTTCCACAGCGAAGGGGTGAGAGCAGAGAACCGACGTGAGGCTGAGACCTTGGTGTCCAAAGAGTTACGCTGCGTAGGGTTCCACCATGAGCTTCAGTGCAAGGCCAGAGTAGTGATTCTTGTTTTTTAAATTACAGAACTATTATTATCATCATTTCACCACCCTCATCTCCTCACTGCTTGAAGCCAGATGTAGGGGTGGGCATTGGATTTGGTTTAACACGTAGGTTTTCGCGACCAATATCATCGATAAGAGGTTTTTTGGTTAGATCGCGTAAATATATAGATGTGTCGTTAAAATCCCGCCACCACCCGACACAACCAACTAGTAAGGGTTGTCACGTATACAGAACATGTCAATTCGTCACTAGTGCAACACACCGGTGTGTTAGAGAGTTAAACCACAACATTTCCAATTCGAGTACGACATTTTGCTGGTGATTACAACCAGCCTAATCAGGCGATAGCCAGAACACACTGATGTACGGAACTTGTAACGAATTTCATTTACCACATGTGCAGTTAATGTTGGGCAAACAGGACGAATGATCAGCACGAGACTAAAAGAACATCAGATACATATTAAATTCTCCCAAATACAACTGTCAGCAGTAGCAGAACACGCGTGCCAACAAGGACTCTCAATTTATTTTTATAATGGTGATGTTTTGTGCAAAACTAGCTACTACAGGCCAAGACTAATTAGATAATCTATCGAAATTGAAAGAACTCTAAATAACTGTAACCGTTCGGATAGCTACTGCCTTAGTGCTACGTGGAAGCGAATCATCAAATACGAAACAGTAAGACTTCACAAATCTGGCTGTCGCCTGATGAAGCTAGTTGTAATTACTGGTGAAACGTCGTACTCCGTTTGTAAATGTTGTGGCTTGGCTCTCCAACACACCGGTGTGCTGTACTAGTGATGAATTGGCACGTTCTGTTTACGTGACAAGCCTTACTAGTTGGATGTGTCGGGTGATGGTGGGTTTTTAATGACATATTTATATATTTACGCGATCTAACCCAAAAACCTCTATTACGGCATTGGATTAAAAAAAATGCATTTTCACAGCAAAGCACGACACACGTGCTCGAAATGCAGCGTGCTCGAGGTGCAACGTGCTCAGTGCCCAATGATAATGCATTGTCTGCCACTCTCCCTCTACTTTTCGGGAACAAGCAGAGACATTTAACACATTTTTATAAAAATGCAATGAAGGTAATTTTGCATTGAGCTAAAAAGGACGGTAAGAAAATAATTTCTACGCTCTGTACAGCGGACAGAAGCAGGATATAAAAAAAAGTAGAGAGCATCCCGCTGCTTCCCCATGTGGTAATTGGTGATGACATACTATCAAGAAGGGTGCAAACTGTGTCCCAGCAATTCAGAGAGCGTTATGTTTTCGTGACTTTCCAGAAGAAGGTGGTAGAGCAAGAAGGCTTTCGCGACCAATATTATCCATAAGAGGTTTGTTGGGGTTAAATCGCGTAAATATAAATGTGTTGTTAAACCCGCCACCACCCGACACAGCCAATTAATAAGGTTTTTCACGTAATTAAAACATGCCAATTCATTAGTAGTGTTGGAGAGAAAACCCACAACATTTACAATTCGAGTACGTTTTTCCGGTAATTACAACCAGCCTTAGTTGTGGAGAAATCCTCCTGTTTCAGTCTTAAAAAATGTATAACCCTATTATGGACTCTTATCAGTTGCCCCCTCACATGTGTAATGAGCGACTTCTACGACACGTCGTATAGAGGGTACTTCTTCTTTATTACTCACACTGGGCACAACACTGGTTCTTCCTCCCACTGAATATACTCGTGGCAATAACACCTCTACTGGCTACACGCACAGCCGATCACTCAGCGTCGTACCCTCGCCCTCAGTCGTCTCCGCCGCTGGCTGGCGGCGTGATGACGACGGCAATGGAACCCACGGAGGAGATCTTCCACGTAGCCGGACGATGGAGAGAGATGTCGGTGAACAGCGACATGCCAGGACCCCACACACGAGCCCCGAGCTGCGGGTCCGCTCCCCCTTATATCCCCCCAGGCGTGGCTAGGCCCTGCCTCCGGCCACGCCCTCTCGTGGAACCTTCGAGCAGGTTCCCGGAGTATCTCGGCGAGCCCCACCTGTTACCTTTGCCCCAGATACACCTCCTTCCCTGATTGGTTGTTACCTCTGTGGCATTACCCGTTAATCCCTTCCCAGGCCAGCAGGTGTCACCCTGTCACGTCAGCAAGTGTCACTCTGGCATTACACATGTATAGGATTTCTCCGGGTGTTCTGGCTTCCTCCCACATTTAAACATATCTTCATATATTGTGGACCGCAGAGCTAAGGCAATTGTCAATAGCGCTGCTTCACTACCCGTCCGCCGATTGTCTGAGGTTCCCTCAGCGATTGTGAGATGCAATTTGTATGAATGGCAGCGCTATATATATATCACTAAACATCATTTTATGGCAAAAAGAATGTACACAAATTGTGCCACCTCAGGAAAATGTTCCTTGATTGGGAAGAATGGCCCACCTTATAGAGAAGTAATCTGATGTATTCACAGTAATGAGAGAACATAGAGAGGGGGGAGATAATAGAAGCAGTGATGATTTTGGGTGCATGCAAGAAGTCGGGCAAGGTGCATTCTGGATCACGTTGAGTGTCGCGGTGAGGAGTTCGGGGAGGGCAATGAGGCGTTACAGTAATTAGGCAAAATTATATGAAAACACAAATGTGTTTAACAGTAGGCTCAGAGAAGTGACTTTGTTAGTTGGTTGGTGACTGGGCAACAACTGCAACATTGGGTAAAACATTATTGGTGGTGAGGTGTTGTGGTGGTGTCAACACCATTGGCCATCGTAACCTCTTGTTCTTGATGTCTAATAGACAATGAAAGCAGAAGTAAATGTATTTACGTATAATTGGTGAGCATTAAAAAAATCTACAAACGTCCACCATATAGCAAAAACAGACTGTTAGGGCAAGTGCTGTTAATGAGCACCTATGAAGGCCGGCACGGCACACAAGGGGGTGGGTCGTCAGCACTAAGTCCGGACACCTTTGTCT